TTAACAACTATTCACCGAAGTGGAGGTGGTTAGTGGTGGATATTTACCGAGCCGCGAAGCGGCGAGGTAAATATCCACCGCTAACCACCGACACTGAGGTGAATAGTTGTTTTAGTATATACTAAAACAGTGAGATAATATACACCACCGTCGTTAATTTGAGTGATTTCTTCGCTTGTCACGAATGCAAACCGGGACGCCATTTTTTCCCGAGTTGCTCGGAGGTAAATAGCAAAGGATATTCGGAGTTTGACTAGCCAATCAGAGCGTGCCTTCAACACTATCCACTGTTTTAGTATATACTAATTCTTGATATTCAATTCACTTCCGAACTATTCCATAGGCGGATAACGTAAAGTGGCCGTAAAGTGTTTCAAAGCAGAGGTTTCGAGCGTTAGCCCTTCTTTCGCTCTGACGAAGGGCTAACGCTCAAAACGTCAGCTTTGAAATTCTTTGCGGTGGCAAATATATATTATCAACTCAGCTGATAAAACAAAAATTACTTTGTTAGTAAATAAACGCTTGCAAAAAGAACTTATCGCATGCGTTGAAGATCCTAATCCCCATTATGAATAGACTTGGATCCCAGTGAAGATGGTAACCGTAATTTTTACCTCCATTTCTGGGTCCCAACGGCCTGTTTGTATTGTATTCGGCATGTATTGAACGGTCCCTTAGAGTAGAACCACTAAAATGAAACTAAAAATAATCTCTGAAACAAAATTTATTCCATGTTTATCTCCAGGTGTCTGTATTATTGCTTTGAGTTCAAATGCCCTCAACGCATTGGAGATTATCTTTCCTCCTTAGCCCGTTAGGCTAAATATTATGCATGAACATTGCCCAAGCAATTTGATACTGTATTAAGTAGTTACCTACCCATTTCCTGTAGGAAATAATACAGGTCCGACCGTATATTGCTACAGTAAAGGCGGAGATCCTGTCAAGAGAGCACATCGATATTCCCAGATTGAATCTATACCCGGAGCAGACATAAAAACCGAAAACAGGCAGAGGGTGTGAAGGCAAACAGAACGAGCAAGAATTTCAAGGTTTTAATTTATGTTACATCTTCATACACAAATACATGCACGCACAAACTCATATGAAATCAAAATTGAAATTTGTTTTCAATGCTGTTCCGAAAAATTTATAATTTCTCTGGGAAGTGATAAACCTAAATCTTGAATTTACCAAAACAAAAAACACAAGACAGTTATTTTTTGGTTGCTTTCCTTTGCAGTTTTGAAGCAACGAGACAGCCAGGTAAAAAAGGCCGGAAAATGGAGTCAGTGTTAATTATTTCACCCATCAACCTCATGTTTTGAATTCTTCAGTTCGGCTTCCAAATAAAAGAAGCGCCCAGAAACCTTTATTTATTTATTTTTTTTCAAAACGATGCCATAAGCAAAACCCCTGGCGAAACCGTTCTTGCGAAAATGGGTGTTATCAGAACAACACTTCAGAGAAACACATCTTCACCATACCCTAAATTTAGTTGAAATAAAATAGCTGTTTTTCTTTTTAATTTCTCTACTCAAGACTAGAACGAACCAGAGATATGAAATAAAACTGATAGATAAATAGATAAAAAAGTTAAAAAAAAATCCCATTTTAACAACTTAAAGGGCTTGCTCATCTTAAGATGATTAGTACTCGTAATCGAATTTTCCGCGACTTTTCAGATTGCGAAACCAAGTCTATAACCAATTCCTGGCGCGAGTGGGTGGAATGCAGTTCGGATTTATTCTGTGTCCTTTCATCCAGAAAAGGAAGTCTTTGATTATTTAAATATTATATAAATAGCAGGTGATTTTCTCCAAGAAATGATTTTGAATCGTTTATCATTCTTCATTGACGCGTTTATTTACACCTCCCCTCCTTATAGCTACAAAAAAAAAAGAAGAAGAAGAAGAAAAAAATACCATTCAAGCCTTTAAGTTCGACTTGTTTTTCACGAAGAAAGCTGTTTTCGAAAGAAGACGAACAGCTCTGAACACCGCAGTGAGTTTTTCGATTAAAGTCACGCCTTTAGAAAAATACGTGCACGCGCAGCTCGTTTGAGTATATCCTTACTGATAAAATGCACTCCAGTAAAACTATTTTTCGTAAGATACTGAGGCCAAGAGTTCCAAATAAGAAGAAAAAGCAATGGGCATGTTCAGAACCGAATCGGATTATAACTTCAGCAAAACATATTTTTCCTCACTTGTTATTACAATGGTGCGCTTAATTTGGTGTGGAACAATGTATAGCTGCTGAGAAGAAATATCAATGAGCAATCTGTTATGATAATATCTCTGGTTAGTTTTTTTCTTGGCTAAAGGGATTAATGCAAAAGAAAAACAGCTGTTTTAATTCAACTAAATTTAGAGTACGAAAGATGTGATCTGAGGAAACTTTTTTTCGAGAGACCGGTTTTGCTAGCAGTTTGCATTTGACATACCTTGCGAGCAGAGGCCCTTTGATCTTCCTAGATTAGTCGGGAAGAGAAAGGAGCCTGTGCACGCCGCCACGACTTTCCCTGTTGAGCCGCTCATCCAGCGAAGCGGATGAGTCAGTCCTGTTGGAAACCAGTATTCCCTGCTTCGGCTCAGTGTACATACGTGTAGTTAGAAATTGCTGACTAAATAGGCGCCCACAGTTCATTGTTTACGCTCATGAATTTCACAAAATGGCGGCAGTTTCTCTTCCGAAGGATGTGTTTGATAAAGCTGTGAGAAGTGCTCTCGATAAGGCAAATACTCGTGGAATAGATGCTCTTATTAAACATCAGTCAAAGGCATTGCTTAATTTCATGTGTGGTAAAAATACGTTTGTCTGTTACACCTCCACTTCAGTGAATAATTGTTAAGTAATAGTGACATTTACAAACAGAAGCTTTTATGGAAATTGGCAGCATTTTCATCCCTAGTTGTCGCGGGAAGCCTGCTTTTGTTTTCCATTCATCAATCGACATTTTATTTCCGACAAAAATTTGAATTAAAGAGTCATCTTTCAATTCATATGACTGGAAAATTTCAAAAAGCGTTGTGAATTAGTCGAGTTTAGACTGAGCTAATGATTGTTCATAGTTCAATTTCCAAAAATGTAATCGACCTTTTAAAATCGCTAAAATTTTATTTACCATAAAGGTAACGGGAACGAGACCGTTATAAAGGAAGGACCATGATTTTTTCGGAGGGGGGTATGAGAAATTTTGTACCGGAACCATTTTTTTTAACATATAAGTCTCCCATGGCAAACCCTTTTAAGGACGACTGATTACCCCTCCGTTAACACTGATGACCATGTGATCATACTCCCAGAGGCCTCCCCACCCCCCCTCCCGCCTCGCCCTTAAGTACTGAAAGGTTCCCTAGATCATGAATCGCTGAAAATATAGCCAGGGGAAAAATAGTAACAAGCATTTGAAGTATCACACACGCACTTTTTGTTTGGAATTTATTTGAAAAGCGTTAGAATCGTTGATCTGAGATTCAAGGCCCTCTTCTTTTGAAGAGAGCAGAGGAAACCTCCTAATAGCCCATTTTACAGTTGTATACTTGGTTGCCAAGCCTTTGAATAGGAGCGAGGCTAAGGGTGACCTCTTTATGATACAGACATCGCTGCTTTTTAAATGTAAATTACTTTTTTATTATGCTAACTAGATACTGGTCTCTATCACAACAAGGTCACCTTCAGCCTCACTCCGAGTACACAACTGTAAAATGGCATATTAGTTTTTTTAATTTGAACCTTCATTTTTCTTGGCTAAATTCTGACACAAATGCTTGGCTTGAGGAGACGATTTACTCGAGTTTCTCCTAGAGCAGGTCTCACTTGTTTAATCGGTAAGAGGAAAAGACACCGTCCTCAATTCGTCTTCGTCTTCGACAATCTTGTAGCCCAGAAGATTCATAACCTGGAAGCATTCTGTCTCGATCAAGCGCACGATTGAATATGGGACGTGCGCGCGCCATGTTCTTACAGAATCAGTCAGATTTTGCGCACTGTAGGAAAGCTGACGATAAATTGAGTTAACGAGTGATGGGGGCAAAAATCCTTTGCGCAAAGTACGGTCGATCCACAAGCGGACATTTTGTGCAATACCGACTCCAACAAACTGATATAGCTGTTCAGCTATTTGATGCGGGTTTGTAGCCAAGTCCTCGTATCGTAGCAGCGTGTAATGTCCTTGTAACCAAGCTGGGGCACTGACAGCGTATTTTATATTAAGCAGCATGTCGCGACATAAGGATTGCGCGTGATCACGCACCGATTTTATGGTCCAGTTTTCGTGTGTACTGTGCAGTACGCGAGCATTTATAACTGCGCGCGGGTCCCTCACCAAATGAATCACTTTGAGCGAGTAATCCACAGGGCCCGTGTTGTCCATGAGATAGGAGAGTTTGTGAATGGATTTCATCCGGATTGTTTTGACGACGGTGTGTTTATGTAGTCGACAAATCGCCGACGCTGATTGAGGCCTTAAAGGCGCACATTTTCGAATACTAAAGAGTGGAGAGTTTAGATTCTCGGGGCACAACGGAGGAGAAGAAATAGCCCGACTTGAAAGGCGGTGTCGAAGTGCACTGTATTGGTACGATAAAAAATCCGTGAAGTACGAAAGCTCTAAAAAGTTACAGTGAAAAATGCTGTTGAGCAGATGAGTTACCATCGCATCGTAGACGCTCTCGGGGCGATTGTCCTTATAATAATCCAAAGCTTCCAAAGGTTCAAATAGTTAAAAAACATCAGGATGCTGATTCAGAAGTTCTCCTAAGAGAGAACTTCCGGAAGTGGAGTCGGAGATAAGAAGAATATTCTGTCTCATTTTACTTCCATATTTACTTGCTAAGGAGTCAAGTTCCATGAATTTGTTCAATCGCTCGTACATTGCGAGCTTCTTACGCAATGCATCCATTTCTTTGTTCAAATCGGAAGAGTTCTTGTCTTGTTCGAAATTCTGATCAGTGTTCTTTGTAATTTCTTTTGCCGAGCCACCTTTGTCGTTGCATCCGTCGTGATCTGGAATAAACGTCTTGAGTTCGTCCATCTTAGAGGCACTTTGAAGTTGCCGATGTTTGAGACACATCACATCTGAATCTTGGTTTCTTATGAGTAAAAGAATGGCACACATAACAAAAAAAGCGACCACCCAAAAGGAAGGCGAAATTACTCTTCTTAACAAAATTTTTTGGAGAGAACGAAGCATTCTCTTGAAATCCTGCGAATTGTTTTACACCGCACCATTTCAAGCAACTGCCTGGTTCATTCTTGTTGCTCGTTTTGAAATCCCCTTTACAAGTAATTCGTGAAAGGTTGCTGACAATGGGCTTCTATTAACGAGCGTCAAATCGCTTTTAAATAACAGTAGGTCTCCCGTGGAAAATTCTTCCATCACGTTCTTGACTCTTCACGAAATATCTATGTTTGCTTGTAACACAATGCCTGGCACCCGCTTTCGCCAGTCAACCTTTATTTCCACCCGTAAGGTTTCACATTTTTGTTCTAACCTTATATGGAGAGAATAAATTATTCACGTGACTATGTTTAACAATGCTCTCTTAAGCGGGGAAGCATAGGACATTTCAGTAAATAGTTTCCATAACCTAATAAAAACAGAATCAAAATTTTCCTTGTTTTGATTAGCGCTGCCATTTCTGGCGAACAAAGTGCCAGGCTTGGCAGAGGTTCTAAAGAAAAGTGGATTTTTAGTTAAATCAATATTTGTAACGCGTTTTATTACCCTGTTTGGTACCCGTTTTTTTGCTTAGTTTTTCTCGCGATTTTCTCAGTACAACGTCATCATTTTGCTTTCAAAAGATTCCTGCAACTTGCAACCATCGTGGCATTCTGAAAAAGTTGATTTATAAACAGTTACTGACTCATCAAATAACTCCCCATTGCCTAATTAAATTTCAATTTTTTGCTCCGGATCACTGCTGTGGAACAAAACAAACATTTCGACTTACAAAAACAGTCTGTTGAAGCTCTGAAAGAAAGTAACTATTCATAGGGAACACCATCAGTAGGCAAATGTTTGGTTCTGAGCTGGTTTGGCTGGTTTGTATGGACGCAAAGAAAACTGCTAAAGGTTTGATTTAGAAAAGTTTTATATGAAGCCAGGAACGAGGAAAAATATCGAAACAGAATTAGAAAAGAGGTAAGCGACGAAGGGTAACATACACTCCTTCGATATCCTCTCATCCCCAGGAGCCAATGGTTCCTTTAGCGAGCAAACCAACCGTTAACAGAACAGATATGGGCTCTGGGGACGAGCCTGAGTACCAGCTATTCCAACTTAATTAGACCCTCCAGACACCTGCAAATGAAACCTAAGAGAAACCTGGGAGCAATAATTTGTGCGATTTCGCCGATGAACATGAAAAAAAATTTAAACATCATCCTTCGTGAGGTTCAACCGTGTGATTTAGCCGCTGACAGAAAAAAAAACAACTAATGGCATGAGATCAGGTAAGCTTTAAGGAGTCATCTGCGGCTCAATTGTTGGGGAGTTTCACTGAGGGCCGTGACACAGCAACATCTAGAATTATCTACATGAGTCAACAAGAGTACATGATCATTAGCACATGTACCTCTAATTGAGGATTTCATATCGCTTGGGTCTAATTTTCTGCTTTAAGTTGAAAAATAGTGAGTTCAATTTTGGTTTTATCTGCTTTTGTGAACTTAGCAGTCCCATCATACACTTCACTGACACCGCGGAAATACGTTTTCGTGACGTCACAGTAACTGGTCAGTGGTCATCAACTTTAGGCTGCCAAGGGCTTCCATATGTTTGTAGACTGAGTTCGAAGAAGACATCGGCCTCTTGCGTAGTTTTAAGTTGGAAAATATGCATGATACTTCTCCTTGTTTGTTATATTTGATCCTTTGAATGTTTTTTTAATACTGAAACCACGTCTTAACAAATATCGGTATAGGGGGGTCGTTTTGTTAGGAGTTGTGTGCTGTTTGCTGACTTAGGCGGGCCGTCCAGTTACGAAGCGCGATCTTGGTTCTTCAGTCTCCCTCGCCTTCAGAATTGTCAAAAACAACGATAGTTATCCTGACAAAGCAAGAGATTAGTTCTGTAAGATACTTTTCCAGCGAGTCTGAAGACTGGTTGGATTTTTAAGTTTTATTAGCATGAAGCGAAACAGGTAATTATTGTGTTGCGAAAATATTCATACACTCACTTTGCGCCGACTTGCGGTGCCTTTTCATTTTGGTAATTATTCGCTTGGAGGAGAATTTTACCTTTATAAACTGATTTTTCTCCATTCCACCCTTCTGATTTTCTGTGCCTTTAAGAACGGGTGTCCGTAATCAAAATATGAAAACATTTGTTCATTTCATACTTGCAGTGTTATCACAACCAAACGTACTAAANATGGTGCTATCATTGTTTACATTTGGGAATACCCCATCCCTGATTTTTATTTGACTGGATGGGCACAGCAGTACACAGGCTAATTACAAGCTTTTGGTTACTCCTCACGACTTAGTGTTAACTGGGAATTGACAGCTGACTTAATCTAATCAATTTTCTCCTGAACATTTTTGACAAACAACTTTAACTTCAGAAATACTTCTGATAATTTCCCTCTGACATTTCTAATTTGGAAGATTAATCATGATTGTAGCGTTTACGGCGACCAAAATCTAAATTCTCAAGTTCAAGGGCCTGTCGCTCCAAAACGCGGTTAACGAGGTGTTTGGGACAATTTTACTGATCGAAATAACAACCTAAAGTTGACTGTTTGCACGAATCTTTATTCTTGAAAGGCAATCGACAACGAACCACAATCAATGACGAAAATAACGATTATTCTGACAGTCAATTAATCTATCGAACGATCGATCATAAAATATCGGTCCTGGGGATAGGGTGTCCGTGCTACACGGGCATGTTTTGTCTTCCCGGCGAATCTGACCGGAATGCCGTTGACATGCCGATTTATACGGTTCAAGCCACTGCTTTATAAACCTGATGGTGCAGCGTCCTCAGCCATTCAAAAACCGTCTCATTCAGTTTAGCCTTAGTGCTTCATATGCTCTTCCACGGAGCCGCCAGCGAAAAACAACAATTTCATATCGTGTGCAACTTCAGTTCGGCTTTGGCAAATTATATAATTAAGCTTGAGAACTATCCAAAAGGTGAACGGAGCTTCAAAGCTAAGTTTACAGTATTCTTTCTAAGTTTTGCCTTTTACGCTGTCGATTTGACTCACGGCGAAAACATTGTAAAACTTAACGGCATTTTATGGTTTCGTTGAGGTGTCCGCTGACCAATAAAATACTGTATGGTGCCTTAAAAAACGTATTCCCGCGATTTCCGCGGTGTCCACTTCACTCAAATGAACTCAGCAGTCCCATCATACACTTCACTCAAATGATCTTTGCATGCCGGCAAGGACTCCTGGGATTGCCAATGAGTCGTCGATGTTGCACAGAACACGAGCAAGATGTCTCTAGCAAGGTACTTTTATCAACTTTTTTATCTTTAACAGAAGATATTTGGTAGATTTTGTTCACGAAATCAACGTTTACTATTCCAGTCTCCTCCCGGCACCCCTGCACGTGCCTTACCGCGAAAGAGATGAAGACGATGAGTTGGAGAAAGCTTACAAAGACGTTAGTGTTCCCTGTAGTCGGCCATGTTTGATTTGACCAGTTGTTCGATCGCGTGGTTTTTTTTTTTCATAATTTTTACGTGGTCGATCTTTGTCTAGTTAAAGGTAACAGCATTAAAGAAAGAGCCTCCTCCATATGGACAACGACATGGCTGGATTCCAAGAAAGCTGGAGGTTTGTTTGTTGATAACGCTCATGCGATCAGAAATTTAAACTCGGAAGTGACAATCGAGGTTACCTGCCCGCCTTCGATATACAGACTGTAATTGTGGCCCAACCTGTCGCATTTCAGCTGTTTTTTTTTGGTTTCTTTGTGCATAAAATTCAATATCAAAAAAAGAATATACCTCTGGTCCTTTATGATCTAGCTCAACCGGCTTTAGCTGTCCATAAATACTATACTTGGTACGCCACTAATCAAAACTTGTACAGAAGTATTCAACCTCCACCCATCTGTAACTGCTCGATGGTAGTAGCCAACTCGAAAGCTTGGCTCCTTTGGCTACTACACACTCTTTCCACTGCTTTGTGTAATTTCATGTATAGTTAGAAGTTTCTTCATTTTTTTTTTTTACTTTTTCTTTCTTGCTGTTGTATTTTTTTTAGTAGAATAAGTGTGAATAAAGTTCCTTCCTTCCTTTGTAAAAGATTCTTCGTGTTATCATACAAGACCGTGGATAATAAAAGACAGCTTGACATGGCAGCTTTGACAACAATCACATTCCTCTATTTTTGTCATACACACCTTTTCTCTTGTGAACGTTGCATTTCAGAAAAAGGTGGCTGTTCTAGGAAAATATGGAATAATTTTAAAGGAAGGGCTGCAAAATATACCCCAATTATTGTTTATTACCTAGATTTGAGTAGATTAGATTAGAATACTTTAGATTAGTCTATTGTTCTTTGAAAAATTAGTCTTTGTCTCTGACCAGAAGCCATTTAAGCCTCTGGCTTTAATTTTTTGCTGATAAAATGAAGATAAACTTTGAAATTACTTCACACTATTGGTACAGTCTGGATAAATTACTAGTTACCATTATTGCAATCATTTTAATTTCAGAAAATATAAAGGCAATGGCGCTACAAACCATTAATTTAGCTTGAGAATAATCAATCTGAAATTTTCTTCCTGTGGATGCACTCTTACTGATATACATGTACGTCGTGCACACAAGATATCACGATGTATAACAGCTAAAAACTAAAATGGTTTTAATTGTTTCTGGGATTTTCCAAGGTTAAAATATCTTTAAAACCGATGTTTCGACCAGTTTTACTGGTCTTCCTCGGGTTGTTTAAATGTTGTCAGTAACATTAAATGTTTACGTATGATGCACGATCCTTCGCAGTAGATAGCGCTATTTATGCAATAGCAAAAATCAGACCTGAAAAAAATCAGGCCTGTAAGGGATTCGAACCACTGACCTCTATATGTATAGTGCAGTGCTCTACCAATTGAGCTAACAACCCAACTGGAAGCAGGCCGTTAAGTTGATTTGCAATACACCCTTGATGATAAAGCAGGTGCAATGAATATATGAAGTTCATATATATTTTGAACTGCAGTTGTAGATTTTCACTATTGCATAAATAGCGCTCTCTACTGCGAGGATCGTGCATCATACATATCTACAACCGCAGTTCAAAATATATATGAACTTCATATATTCATTGTACCTAATAGAAACTAAAGAAATAAATGTCATGTGAGGTCGTGCAATACATTGCAGTATAACTTACAATATCAGAGAGCTGCTGTGGTCCCTGCTCATCCCATCTGGACATTTCAACAGTAACAAGGAGTTCATAGTTTGAGCTAACAGTTGCAGCACTAGTACCAGTTGATGATTCCCCAATCAAGTCAACTGGAGGGACAGCTAGAAGTTCAAGATTGGACCCAGCATCATAGCTGTAGATATTGAGCGCGTTAAGGATGGTATATTGTGCAGTAAAACAAACCATGGTTTATTACTAATTCTTGTGACATTCTTTGAAAGATATTTGATCTCACAGCAACCTGTTTTTCATCCAATACAATTATTAATGGTGATGTAAACCAACTGACGCATGCAAGCTATCACACCACTTTAAAGTAAAAGCACCAGATGATAGATATTTGAGTCTACTGGTCTCAAATTGCT